GAGGGGCCGACCCCTTCCAAAACGCCCCCTTCCTCAGAAGGCCTTCCTCCCCCCCAGCACTGGTCCGTAGTGTAAGGGCAAGGGTGCGACGAGGAGGAACGAGAAGGATCAAAGGCGCAGCTGTCCTCCGAGATCACGGAGCGCCAGACGGAGTACTTGCAGCTCGGCGTGCAGCTGGAGTCGCTGCGACTGGAGCATAGCAACGCGACCCAGGCGTTCAAGCAGGACCCACAATTAGCAGTGTTAGGAGTAGGATTGCGGACCGAGGACAGAGGACGAAGGCTGGATGAGGATGATTTCGGGATGCATTCGCAGGTTTACTGCGCTTTGACAGCGATTTTCTTTCATAGTGCATGCGGGGAGGATTCTAATAGCGGTCAAGAAGGACCACAGAAGTCCTACCGTGTGGAAAGGGAGTCGCCGTTTCGCCAGAGACGTTTTCACAAAGTAGGGCCACAGAAGAGTCCTACAGGGGGGACGGGGGAAAGGTAGGAGACTAGACTCCCCGAATCTCCGTTTCGCTGGAGATCTCTGTACACAATAGGACCACAGAAGCCGTTTCGCTTAGTACGTCATCGCATGCCGTCACCATCGCCGTCTCATCATGATCATGATCACGATTCGTAATTTTGCTGCTATTAGGGTGCACTGCTGGGTGAATCAGATGTCGTCGGAGGGCTCCCAAGGAGAATAGAGGAGGAGGGACAGAGGGATGGAGGGAGGGCGACGGGGAGGGAGGGAGCGAGGGAGTGAGGGAGTCGAGGAGCGAGGGAGTGAGGGAGGAGAGTGAGGAGGAGGAGAAGGAGGAGGGTGAGGAGGATGAGGAGGATGAGGATGAGCGGGATAATAGGACGAAGAAGACGAGGATGCGGATCATAATGAGGATGAGGATGAAGATGAGGACTACGACGACGACGATGACGATGCTGACGATGATGATGATGCTGATGCAGATGTTGTTGATGATGCTGCTGATGATGACGATGCTGATGACGATGATGATGATGATGATGATGATGACGCTGATGACGATGACAATGATAATGATGATGGTGATGTTGATGATGACGATGATGCCGATGTTGCTGATGATGCTGCCGATGATGACGATGCTGATGACGATGTCGATGATGATGATGATGAGGATGATGATGATGATGATGATGATGATGATGATGATGACGCTGATAACGATGACGATGATGATGATGGTGACATTGTTGATGACGATTGTGACGATGATACTGATGATGACAATGATGACGGTGGTAGTGTTCGTGGTGCTGGATGATGGTCAATGGTGATGATGATGGTCATGATGCTGATGATGATTATTGGGGTGGTGATGAAGATGCTGAAAAGTGTGAGGTCGATGATGATGATGTTGATGATGAGGATGATGATCATGACGATGATTCTGATGATAATATTTTTGTTGATGATGATGAGGCTGATGATGATACTGATGATGATTTTGACGATGATCAGGATGATGACGATGCTAATTATGGTGGTTGTGGTGGTGGTGCTGGTGATGATGAATGGTGGCCAATGACGATGGCAATGATGCTGATGACGATGATGGTGATGATGATGACGATGCCGATGATGATGATGATGATGATGATGATGATGATGATGATGATGATGATGATGTTGATAATGCGGATGGCGATGATGATCATCATGGTGATAATTATACGGAGGACGCTGATGGTGATTATGATGATGAGAATGATGTTGCTAATGAGGATGTGCATGATGATTATGATGATGCTGCTGATGATGATACAGATGTTGATGATGCTGATGATGCTGGTGATGATGACGATGCTGCTGATGCTGATAATGATGATGATGATGACAATGATGATGCTGATGATTCTTTGGAGTTCGATGATGCTGCTGCTGATGATACTGCTGTCGCTGATGATGATGCTGATGCTGATGATGCTGGTGATGATCATGAGGACGATGATGCTGATGCTGATGATGAGGATGCTGATGATGATGACGATGCCGATGCTGATGATGATGATGATGATGATGATGATGATGATACTGAGGATGATGATGGTGATGATGCTGAAGATGCTGATGATCATTATGATGATGATGCTAATGATGATGATGCTGATGACGATGATGATGATGACGATGATGGTGATGCTGATGCTGCTGCTGATGATAATGCTGCTGCTGATGATGATGGCGATGATGATGACGATGATGATGATGATGCTGATGATGATGCTGATGCTGATGCGGATGCGGATGATGATGAGGATGATGATGGTGATGCTGCGCTGCTGCTGATGATGCTGCTGATGCTGATGATGATTATGCTGCTGATGATGATGATGATGATGCTGCTGCTGATGATGATGATGCTGATGATGCTGATGATGATTTTGATGCTGATGCTGATGATGATGATGATGCTGCTGCTGATGATGATGCTGGTGATGATGATGCTGATGATGATGATGAGGCTGCTCCTGATGATGACGCTAATGATGATGATGATGATGATGATGATGATGATGATGATGATGATGAGGATGAGGATGATGATTATGATGATGATGCTGATGATGCTGAAGATGATACTGATGATGACGATGATGATGATGATGGTGATGATGATGATGATGATCATGATCTTGATGATGATGATGATGATGATGATGATGATGATGATGATGATGATGATGATGATTATGATGATGATGATGATGATGATGATGATGATGATGATGATGATGATGATGATGATGATGATGATGATGATGATGATGATGATGATGATGATGATGATGATGATGATGATGATGATGATGATGATGATGCAGGATGAGGAGTCGGAGGAGGAGGAGGAGGAGGAGGAGGAGGAGGAGGAGGAGGAGCAGAGGATGAGGAGAGGAGGAGGAGGAGGAGGAGGAGGAGGAGGAGGAGGAGGAGGAGGAGGAGGAGGAGAGGAGGAGGAGGAGGAGGAGGAGGAGGAGGAGGAGGAGGAGGAGGAGGAGGAGGAGGAGGAGGAGGAGGAGGAGGAGGGAGGAGGAGGAGGAGGAGGAGGAGGAGGAGGAGGAGGAGGAGGAGGGAGGAGGAGGAGGAGGAGGACGAGGAGGACGACCAGGTTGACGGACAGGGGGAGGAGGAGGAGGAGGAGGAGGAGGAGGAGGAGGATTACTAGGTTGAAGAGTAGGAGGCGGAGGTCGGGAGGCGGATGAAGAGGAGGAGGTGGATGGCAGGGGGTGCGGGCTGGGCCGACGTGGGTGTGCCAGTCCGTCCCGGCAGGACCTCGTCACTTACAGCATGGCAGTCGAGGCCCTGGACCGCGCCATCGAGCTCTTGGAACAGGAGGGGGGGAGAGAAGGAGGAGCGAGAGAGGAGAAAGACGAAAAGGAGAGGAGTGAGAGAGGAGAGAGGAGGTGGATAGAGGAGTAAGAGAAGGAGAGGGGGTGAAAGGGGGAGGAGGAGGAGGAAGAGGAGTAGGAGGAGGAGGAGGAGGAGAGGAGGAGGAGGAGAAGGTGAAGGAGGAGGAGGAGGAGGAAGAGGAAGAGGACGAGGAGAAGGAGGAGGAGGAGCAGGAGGAGGAGGAAAAGGAGGCGGAGGAGGAGGAGGGGGAGGAGGGGGAGGAGGAGGAGAGGGAGCAAAGGGAGGAGAGGGAGGAGAGAGCTAGTGGTAGTGGTGGTGCTGACGATGATTGTATTGCTGATGATACGGATGATGGCGATGATGATGATGATGGTGATGATGGTGATGAGGGTGATGATGATGCTGATGCAGTTGATGATGATGATGATGATGATGCTGACGACGATGATGTCGATGATGATGATGCTGATAATGCTGCTGATGATGATGACGAAGATGATGATGCTGATGATGATGATGATTGTGATGATGATGATCATGATGATTCTGATTCTGATTATCATGATGGTGATGATGATGATGAAGGTGCTGAGGATGATGATGATGATGACGATGATGATGATGACGATGATGATGGTGATTATGATGACCATGGCGATGACGATGACGACGATGATGATGATGAGAATGATGATGGTGATGACGATGCTGATGCTGCTGATGATGATTATGATGCTGATGATCATGATGATGATGCTGCTGATGCTGATGATGTTGATGCTGAGGCTGCTGCTGATGATGGTGATGATGACGATGGTGATGCTAATGCTGATGATAATGATGATGCTGATGATGATGATGATGATGCTGATGCTGCTGATGTTGCTGATGCTGCTGCTGCTGCTGATGATGATGATGATGATGATGCTGATCGTGATGATGATGCTGATTATGTTGCTGCTGGTGATGCTGATGATGATGATGATGATGTTAATGATGCTGATGACGATGATGACGATGATGACGATGATGATGATGATGATGATGATGCTGATGATGATGATGATGACGATGACGATGACGATGATGATGCTGATGATGCTGCTGATGATGAATGTTGATGTGGATGGTGAAGATGACGGTGCTGATGATGCTGATGATGATGATGATTATGATGATGATGATGATGATGGTGGTGTTGATGGTGATGATGATGAGGATGATGACGATGACGATGATGATGATGATGATGATGATGATGATGATGATGATGATAATGATGCTGATGATGCTGATTATGATGCTGCTGATGATGATGGTGGTGGTGGTGATGATGATGACGATGATGATGATGATGCTGATGCTGATGCTGATGCTGATGCTGATGATGATGATGCTGGTGATGACGATGATGACGATGATGATGACGATGATGATGATGATGATGATGATGATGATGATGATGATGATGATGATGATGATGATGATGATGATGATGATGATGATGATCATGATGATGATTTTGGTGGTGGTGGTGTTTGTGGTGGTGGTAAGGGGGTGGAGGAGGAGGAGGAGGAGGAGGATCAGGAGGAGGAGGCGGAGGAGGAGGAGAGGAGGAGGAGGAGGAGGAGGAGGAGGAGGAGGAGGAGGAGGAGCATGATGAGGAGGAGACGGATGATCGGGGGGGGGGGGGAGGACGAGGAAGAGGGGGGAGGGCGAGGGAGACGGGATCATGCAGCAGGGGTAAAGGACCAGTAGGAGTGGGAGGGGTAAGAGAAGCGATAAAGGGAGAGAGGTGGGATCATGGACAGATATAGTCTAATCGAAAGGAGGGGTGTGTGTGTAATTGATGTGTGTAAGTCAATGAGGAGCGAGGAGGGGGGGGAATGAGTAGTGAGGAGCAGGAGGAGGAGGACGGGGAGGAGGAGGAGACGGAGGAGGAGGAGGATCACCGGTATGTGCGGACGACGCCGAACATGTTGGGTGGTGGTGGCGTTGGTGGTGAGTATGCCGATGCTGATACTTCCCCTGGGGACCATGGTTCGTGGTGGTGCAGATGCTGGCTGTGCCGACGGTGATGACGATGTCGACGCCGATGGCGATGACGATGACGATAACGACGGCGATAACGACGACGACGATGATGATGCTGCTGCTGATGATGATGATGATGATGATGATGATAATGCCAACGATGATAATGATGCTGATCATGTGGTCGAGGATATTATATATGATGGTGACGATGATGGTGGTATTGGTGGTGCTGACGGTGAGTGTACTGCTGCTGATGAGGATGCTGGCGATGATGGCGATTTTGCTAATGCTGATGCGGATGGTGCTGATGCTGATGATGATGCTCATGATCATGATGATGCTGATGACGATGATGCTGGTGATGATGAATGATGATACTGACGACGACGACCAGCTGATTCTGATGATGTGGCTGATGATGATGGTGATGATGCTGGCGATGATGATGCTGCTGATGATGACGACGATGATGATGATGCTGTTGATGATGATGCTGCTGATGATGATGATGCTGATCCTGCTGCTGCTGATGATGATGATGATGATGACAGTGGTGCTGCTGCTGATGCTGCTAATGATGCTGCTGATGACGATGATGACAATGGTGATTATGATGATGCTGATGCTGTTGATGCTGATGATGTTGTTGTTGATGATGATGATGCTGATGTTGATGCTGATGATGATACTGCTGATGATGATGTCGATGATGGTGATTCTGATGATGATGATGATGATGATGATGATGATGATGATGCTGATGCTGATGATGATGCTGATGATGCTGCTGCTGCTGCTGATTATGATGATGATAATACACGTTGCGATTATGATGATGATACTGATCTTGACGGTTGTGATTTTGCTTCAGAGTATGATAATGCTGGTATTGATGCTGAGGATGTCGTCGGCGATGCTGATGCTGGTAATGGTGGTGGTGGTGATGATGGTGATGATGACGACGACGCTCCTGGCGCCTGCGGCAACGGCGACCCGCGGGCCGCGGCGACAGGAGACGGGGGCGGCGGCCGCCCTGGTCAGCCTGCGGCACCTCGCCGCCTCGGGGCGGCGAGGCGGCAGTGCGGCCAGGTCCTTACCGCCATGGTCGTCGTCGTCGTCGTCGTCGTCGTCGTCGTCGTCGTCGTCGTTGTCGGCATGGTCGTCGGCGTCGTCGTCGGCATGGTCGTCGGCGTCGTCGTCGGCTTGGTCGTCAGCATTGTTGCCGTCGTCGCCACCGCCGTCGTCGTAGCCGTCGCCGTTGGCCTCGGCGTCGGCGTCGGCGTCGGCGTCGTCGTCGTCGTCGTCGTCGTCGTCGTCGTCGTCCTCGTCGTCGTCGTCGTCGTCGTCGTCGTCGTCGTCGGCGGCGGCGGCGGTGGCGGCGGCGGCGGCGTGGTCGTGGTCGTGGTCGTGGTCTTTGTCGCGGCCGCGGTCGTGGTCGTGGTCGTGGTCGTGGTCGTGGTCGTGGTCGTCGTCGGCGGCGGCTTCGGCGTCGGCGTCGTCGTGGTCGCGGTCGTCGTGGTCGGCGTCGTCGTCGTCGTCGCCGCCGCCGCCGCCACCGCCGCCGCCGCCGCCGCCGCAGCCGTCGTCGTCGTCGTCGTCGTCGTCGTCGTCGTCGTCGTCGTCGTCGTCGTCGTCGTCGTCGTCGTCGTCGTCCTCTCCTGCTGCGTCATTCTTCACCTCCGCCCCAGCCTCGTTCTCCTCCTCCTAAGGAGAGATGAGGGGGGGGGAGGTGGGAGGGACGTGCGACGGATGCAGAAGATGCAGAAGTGCGACGTGATGCGGGATGGGCGGGCGGGAGGACGAGGGAGGAGGGAGGAGGCAGGGGAGATGACAGCGGGATGCAGGGGAGGAGAACGGGGACGAGGACGGCAACGCCGACGACGCTGACGACGCCCAGGACCACGCCGACGCCGGCGGACGACGACGGACACCGACGGACGACGGACGACGACGACGCCGACGCCGACGACTGCGACGACGACGAGCTGCCTTCCAGGCGGATCGGCCGTGCGCTCGGCCTCGCGGGCGCGGCGCCCACCTGGGACACGTCGGTGCTGCCCTCCATGGCCGCGGTTGGCTGGCCACCCCCGCGGGCCCCCCACCGACCGTCCTATGTCTGCAGCCGTCGGCGGCCCGGGGCCCCAAGGGGGCTGCAGAAGGGCTTCAGGATGGCCGCCCGATCGCGGAGAGCAGTCGGGGCCGAACGCTCTCTTTCGGTTCTAGAGCATCTGTGGTTTGCCAGTGCTCTCTACCGAGGATGGCTGCAGGAGGGCCCCGAGTGGCCCTCGACGGCCCTCAAGCGGCCTGCGAGGGCCCACGGATCCTCGAGCAGAGCCTCCAGAGGCTGAGCGAGAATCAATATCGGCCGACTCGTTACCACCCTGGCTGTCTTCTGCCCCCCCCTCCCCCCCGCCCCTCCTCTCCCCCGAGGGTTCGCGGATGCAGTCGCAGAGGGTTTGTTTGGAGACCAGTCCATGTGCCCTCCGTGGACCTCCAAGCCCTAGCCCTCGACGTCTCCCTACTCTCCTCCTCCCCCTCCCTGCTTCTCCTCTCCTCCTCCTCCCTCCTCCCTCCTCCCTCCTCCCGCCTTTATCCTCCTCCCCTGTAGAAGCTCCATCTCTGTCGCACCACCGAACGTTTCCGTAGGCCGGGTGGGGCTTTGCGCTTGCTCGATTCCTACAACCGATTGTCCTGAGGTTGTATTCATATCGTGCAGAGATATCCTAAGTAGCAGCGCTGCGTGATACAATGGAGACCCATGCCAAGAAACACCCTGCTTGCCTCCAGGGTGCCCTGAATTTCTTGGGTTTCGGTGGGTTTGCTATGGAAAGCGTGACGTTCTCACACTAAACATCAACGGACGTCCTGGGGTCTCAGGGTTGGATTTCTTGTGGAAGGTTTCTTGTGGTCGAGCTCCTACTGTACAGTCAACCCGCATAGTAAGAATTGTCAACCTTCCCAAGGGGTACCCTTTGCATCCCTGCCTCCTCGGCCCGTCCTTGGCCACTTTCGTTGGCCGCGCCCCGCTCGAAAAGCTTCGAAGTCGGCGTCCAAGGCCCAAGCCCTTGCGTCCGGGGCAGGATCGGCGGAGCTAAAATGCGGTTCAAGCCCCTCGCGCGAATGGCTTTGTGGACGACGATCCATGGAGAGGAAGCGTGTTGACAACTTCTTTCCAGATGTCTAGAACATGTTTTAAACATGTCTTAGACATGGGTCACACATTTGTGGAACATCTTTCCGACATTTGAGACACATTTTTCATTCAATGCTAGGATTGTTAGGGTGTCCATTGCCATGCCATCCACAAGAACTGCTATTTAGGGCAGACTCCACCACTTCAGTAGGGCGGAGGGCCAGTGGTTTTCCCAATGGTGGCTCTTGCCTCAGCGCCGCGCGCGTTCGTCCCGCACTCTTCCAGCAGTTTCAAGGATAGAGGCTGGTCCTTATTCGAAATGCGGCTCTCGCTTCAGCGCCGCGGACATTTTTTTTAAAGCACAAAACTGCTTACACGGCTTTCGGGGATAGTTTTCAAGACGCGGCTCTCGCCTCAGCGCCGCGCCGCGCATGTTCTTAGCCAGCGTGCTCGAGATTTACACGGACGGATGCCTGTGCGTTTTCAGAAGGCGGGTCTCGCTTGAGACTTTCTCGAGTTCTATGCCCCGAAATCCAGAGGAGGAGGAGGAGGAGGAGGAAGAGGAGAAGGATGAGGAGGAAGAGAAGGGGCAAGCATGCCGAAGGCTGCAATGCGGATCCAGGGCCGCTCCTTTTCCGAATGGGGCTCTTCATGGAGGCTTCGCTGCTCCGTCTGTCGCCAGAACGCTCACCTTGTGCAACACTTACGCGGCTGGAGGAGGCAGATCCTTTCCAAGACGCGGCTATCGCTGGTTTGTCCTCACCTCCTCCTTTTTCTCCTCTTCCTCCTCCTCCTCCTCCGCCCCCTCCTCCTCCTCCGCCTCCTCTTCTTCCTCCTCTTCCTCCTCTTCCTCCTCCTCTTCCTCCTCCTCTTCCTCCTCTTCCTGGCTCAAGTCATTTTGGCTCAATACCCGTGTACTCAATACCCGTGTACTGTACTCTCAGTTTACGTGCGCTTGATTGTTTGTCCGCTCGCAAACATCCATAAGCATGAAGCCAGGAGACACCCGGAAGGAATCCGCGCATACGGGCTCTTCTCCACAGGATAGAAAAGCGAAGAAGGAGGATCACAGGGAAGAAATCTTCCATGACGCCAAGGAGCTGACGGATGTGAAGAAGCGTCCAGAAGACGACGACATCAGCGATGAAGACGCGAAGGACGATGAAGAAAGATCAAGATAACGATGTTAAAAGCATGAAGATGTTGGTGAAGAAACTGATGAGGATGATGAGGGGCGTTCAGAAGGGAATGAAGGATGTGACAGAATAAGTGGGAGAGGCAAAAGTCCTGGCACAGCAAGCGAAGACGTCGGCAGACAGTGCGATGCAGTCGGTTGAGAAAGTAAAAGAGGAATTTGCAAACATGAACCATGAAAGACACAGTGGTTACCAAAGATAGCCTCCCGAAGCTGGTGCAGAACATGGTACAATAAGCAGGCGCAGGAAGTATGCTAGTTAACCCTGGCCGCCCAGGAAATATGCAAGGAGTGAGTTGGAGAGGATTTGCCAAGAGAGGGGATGGGAAAGGAGATGCGCACTTCGAAAAACGATCCATGACGATCTATTTTGGAGATTTCCCAGAAGACACGGAAGATGGTATGATCGAGGATATTTTGAAGAAGTGGACTGAATCTGTACATGATGATGTTGAGGAGGTGTATGCTTTCGGCAAGTTTTCTACACGTGGCGCAGTGCGCTTCAAAACTCAAGCGTCCATGTGGGAATATATGCAAAACCATCGCGGACAGCTTCAGCACGAAGTCTTGGGGACGAAGGTTTATGCCAATCCAGATTCGATGCACGACCCAACCCCAGAGAAGTCGAAGGCCGTCCGAAAAGTGGTACGGGTGATCATTGAGAAGAATGGCGGGACGGTAGACAAATCAAAGGAGCCATTGCCACCAGCTATCCCAAAGGCCGGGTGTGGTGGAATGACCGCCGGGTGGCCGAATGGTCTGAAGAAGGAAAAATGAAGCTTCTCGGAGCGGCGGCCGAGTACCAGGAAGACTTCGAGAAATTGATGGGCCACGACCAGGGCACAGAGGTGGCGAAGAGGATTTGGACAGAGAGTGGAGGTCATGGAAGTGGAAGGGGGAAGCTTGCGCACATAGACGGGGACGTGCCAAAGTGCATATTGCAAAATACCAGTACAAGTCGGAATCTCTATAAGGATTTTGAGGATGAGGAGGCGGACTTCCAATTCAATGTGATTTGTTGGAATGCTTGCGGTATGGCCGAGGGCGCGATTGACGATGTGGGGAGCATGATGGGGGGGGACGTGCATTGGGACGCATTGTTGTTGCAGGAGGGCCCATTCGTAAATGAAGACGCGTACGCAGTAACACCTGACGGGCATGGGATGTTTTCTGGAGCGTGCCAGGAGTGGAACAGGAGTATCACGATTTTGTTGCACCGGAGATGGATGCAGGATGCAGGGAGATTCTTCTGTATCGTTTCATGCTGTGGGAAGGTGGGTTGCGTATCTCGGCGTGGACATGGGATCATTCAAGCTCCTACTTGTTAGTGCACACCTTCCGCGCAGTGAAGGTTCAGACGATGAATCTGACGAAGCTGTGATGATTTTGGGGGATATCGTGGAAAAGATAAGGAGAGCAGGATGCACTAATGTTGTGGGACTGGACGCTAATGCCGTGATCGATGCAAGGACGGAGCATGACAATATTGACATCGTGGGTGCTTTCGGATGGGGTCAGAGGTGCCAGAGAGGGGACATGTTTACAGCGTGGTTGCACGGAGAACGGCTACGTGCTGTCGCAACTTTTGTGGCCACTCGCGATTCAGATCGGTAGACCCGCAAGCAGTGGAGCAGTGGGGTGTGGAGCATATTGATTTTCTTTTGGTGGATGAGATAGGGGGTGATACTTTTCATCCTTGGGGAATCTTGCGTCATCTGGAAAGGAAGTCAGACCATCGAGCATTCTTTGGGTCGTTTACATTTTGTGAAAGGCCGGAGAGTCCAAAGAGAAAACGCCAGTTGCAGTTGAATTCGAAGGCCAGATTAGATCAGAGCGGCGCCCCGAAAGAGTTTCATGACACATTGGATGGGTCCATGGCGGCGTGGAGTAGAGGAGTAGACCCAACGGCCACGATGGTGGGGGCCGCTCGCGACGCGTGGGGAGATCGTCAGAGGGCCACAGGTAAGCGTTCGCACTGTGAAGAAGTCGCTGGTCTGTTTGAAAGGCGCCGGAAAGGCAGATCCGGAGAGGAGACGGGCGCTTTCGAAAGATTTGTTGGGAGCATTGAGGAGGGGGCGCAGACGGAAGCAGGATGTTGATGTGGAGGAGTTGTTAATGAAGGGCGGTTGTGTGGCACGATTGAGAAGGCTAGAAGAGAAGCGCAAGGGGGCGCAGCGAATTGCAAGCATCAGGGATGCCGGCGGGAAGTTGTGCGCGGACGAAGCCTCCATGCGTAATGTGTTTGCGTTTTTATGGCGAATTGTGTAAGGAATTTTGGTGAGAGGGAGTATGCGTTGCCAACAGAGACTCAGGGGGGTGCAGTGACAGTGGAAGAACTGAGAAGAGTCTTGCGAAAATTCAAGGCCGGGAAGACAGGGGCAGATGACGGTTTGGTGGCGGGAATGGTGAAGATGGATCACCCCGGGCTCGTGCAAACCGTTACCGACTTTTTTTCGCGGACATTCTACGGGGAAGGACTTTGCCGCCAGTGGAGTGGGCGCGGATGAAATTTCGCATTCTCTCCAAAAAAGTGGATCCGACAGTGCCGAAAAATTACCGGCCCATCGCAGTGATACCTGTCATGTGTAAGCTTTTCAGTGCGGTCTTGTATAACCGAATCTTGCCGATTGTCGGGAGGTGTTGGGCGAGGGCAGTTCGGATTCAGACCTGGGCGTGGATGTGCAGACGCTGTGCGCAGATATGCGCACGGTGGTAGAGAAGTCGCTGGAATGGGGGGGGAGCACTGGGTGGCCACGCTGGACGTAGAAAAAGCATTCGACAGAGTTCACCATTCGTCGTTGTTTGATTCGCTTCTTGATAAAAGGTATTGATGTTCAGGTGGTCGGTGCACGCCGTTTCTTGCATTTTGATGTGAGAGGATATGTCGCGCCATGGCCTGGCGCAACCAGTCGTGAATTTGTCGTGGGAAGGGGAGTGAAGCCAGGTGATCCGTGTTTTTTTTTTTTTTTTTTTTTTTTTTTTTTTTTTTTTTTTTTTTTTTTTTTTTTTTTTTTTTTTTTTTTTTTTATATATATATATATATATATTATTATTATTATTATTATTATTACTATTATTATAAAGAAAAAAATGGTTTTGGATGGCGCTCTCCGCGAAGCCAGCCGTATCTGGAATAATATCGGATGCGGCGCGAACGTAGGGCAGGAGGTGTGTGGGGAGCGCTTGACTCACATCGCATTTGCAGATGACCAGACGTTGGTGGCTCGCTCTTGGCTTAATGGTACGCATGCTTGTTATACTCCGGAGTGCGCTCATAAGCAGAGGTTTGTCGCTTCGCTCAACGAAGTGTCAGCTCCAGAGCACCGGGGTGGATTCTCAGAGAAGGAGCGTTGCGATTGAGGAGGGCTTGTCTATCGATGTATTGCCGCGCGGAGCTTGTCTAGATCTCTTGGGTGCTAAATTGTCTCTGCAAGACGGGTAGTGAAATTGCACGCCGCATTGCAGCGGGATGGTCGAAATTCCGGTCTTTGGAGAGGTTCTTGACCACGAAGCATTTCTCATTGACCAAGCGAGGCTTTTCAACTGCATTTTGGCGGGAACGATTCTGTGGGGAGCTGAGTCATGGACGCCGAGAGTGGAGGAATTGAGAAGACTGCGAGCCACGCAGAATGCCTTGTTGAGGAGACTTGTTTGCAGTGGGAGAGGAGTAGGGGAAGATTGGGTGGCTTGGGTGCAAAGAGCAACCCGTCAAGCCAGACGGCTCGCTTCCGACGCAGGGGTGAAGGATTGGGCCCGCGAACATGTTATGAAGAAGTGGAAGTGGGTAGGGCACGTTGCGCGCGTGCCGGTTACAGAATGGTGCGGTCTAGTGACATGTTGGCGTGATTCGTCGTGGCAGGCAGCCAACCGCAGATGGCGACGTCCAGAGAGACTTTCTAAACGACCGTGGATCAAATTTGAGCATGTACTTAGGAGGTTTTGCACGGATGGAGGCCACGAAGGATGGAAGCAAAAAGCAAAAGATCGCCAGGCATGGCGCGAAGTAGCTCCAACTTTCGCCTCTTGGGCGAGCGCGCTGTGATCCAGAGTGCTACTGGCCTGGTTGTATTTTAGTATCTGTCCTGCCCCGCGCGGGCCTTTCTTTCAGACAGGAGTTCACCGCTCACTGTGCCTCCTCTTCCTTTTCCTCCTCCTCCTCCTCTTCCTCTTTGTTCGTCCCTCACCCTTTTCAAAACGTGGCTTGTCAAATCGTCGAACTTTCTCATCTTGCGTATTTGTGTTTCAGCGATGAGTATGGAGGGTGCCTCCTTTGCACAGTGGGGTCTCGCCCTAGGGGCTCGCCCACCGGGCGCGCGCCGTCCAAGCGAAGGTGGCGCGCCCCACAGCGGGAAGGACTGCCAGCAGAGATTAACCACTTGCAGGGAGGGTGCTTGGGATGGGAGGGTGTATTGCAGCACCGATGATGCATCCCAGGTTTTACGCCCGGCTTCCCTGCTCCTCCTCGTCCTCCTTCCCTTGGGGGTTTCGGGCGATCCCCGGGCGTCCCCTGATGCCCCTGAAGGCTTCAAGGGGCCACGGATGCCCCAGGCGGGCACGCAGACGCGGCAAAACCACGATCTTAGAATCGGCGTCGCCCCAACATGCTTATACTATATGTGCGTCGCCCCCCCAGGGGCGACGCGCGCGCCGAAAATTCTTATAGTACATGCGTCGTGGCGGGCGCTTTCTGGCCACACCGCTCGGGAAATGAAATACTACAAGGAGGACATAAAGAATTAGTATGTCTTTCTACGTCCCATAGAGCCTCGAAAACCTCCCTCCCCTCGTCCTTTCTGCACAACTGCATCGGATGGTCTGTTTGGCTGTTCTAGCGCAGCTCCGGGCCCGCGGGGATCGCCAGCCGCCGACCGCGGCGGCGTCGACTCCACGCCGTTCTCCTCGCAGAGCGGCGGCGTGGTGGGGGTGCTCGAGGGCCTCAGGACGGACTTCAAGGCCAGCAAGGATCCCCCCTCCTCCCGTCTCCTCCGCAGGGTGGAAGGTTGGGGCCTGGGTGTGTTTTTTTGACAGTCGGGCAGGGTGGTGTGTGTATATATACATGTATGTATATATGTATATATGTATATATGTATATGTATATGTATACGTATATGTATATGTTTATGTATATGTACATGTACATGTACATGTATATGTAAATGTATATGTATAGGTATATGCATACGTATATGTATATGTATATGTATATGTATATGTATATGTATATATGTTTATGTATAGGTATACGTATATGTATATGTATATGTTTATGTATGTGTAGGTATGCATGCATATATGTATGTATGTATGTATATATGTATGTATGTACGTTTGTATGTTTGTATGCTTGTATGTTTGTATGTTTGCATGCTTGTACGTTTGTATGTTTGTATGCTTGTATGTTTGTATGTATGTATGTATGTGTGTGTGTATGTGTGTGTATGTATGTATGTATGTATGTATGTATGTATGTATGTATATATGCATGTATGTATGTATGTATGTATTTATGTATGTATATATGTATGTATGTATGTATATATATATATATGTATGTATGTATGTATGTATGTATGTATGTATGTATGTATGTAATGTATGTATGTAGGTATGTATGTATGTATGTATGTATTTATATATGTATATATATAGATATAAGACTGCAGTGGCGGCGCTTCGCGCCATGCATCTTGGTCCCTGAAGTTTGGCATGCCGGCGAAATAGCAGGAAGGTCAAGCCGACAATTTAGCGATAACTCCTTCTTGCCTTTTCCGGCATCGCCGCTATAATAATTTTATTCGTTATCCTTTCTCCATGCTTCTGTTTCCTTATTTCCGCCATACTTTGCGCACACTCCCCATCCTCCTCAGCTCTTTTTTGCGGAGGCTCCTCCTTGGAGAGCCTCTGGGGGCCTCACAAAAGTTGTTTCAGGCTTTCTTACGGCCTTATGAAGGCCTCCTGGGCGTGTTCTGGGGGCCTCCGGGGGCTTTCTCGGGCCACCCTGCCTCCAACCCCGGTCTCCCTCAACGACCGGGTCACGATTCGGAATGCTTCGGAGGGTGTCTTCGGGCCATCATGGGCCGCCATGGGGCTCTCTGAGGGCCATCTTGGACCCGTGTTGTGCCGTTTTGGAGCTCTCTTGGACTGCCTGGAAGCCCTTTCGGATGGTTGTGGGGCGATTTTGGAGCCCCCCAGGCGGCTTCGAACGCCCTGAAGACCGCCGTCTTGGAGCGTCGGGAAGCCGAATAGAGGAGAACCGCAGACTTCACCAAAAACCAACAGAAAATCAATGATTTTTGCCTTGGGGGGCCTTGGGAGTGCTCTTGGAGGCCTCTTTGGGGCCGTCCTGGAGGCCTCTTGGGCCATCTTGAGGTCACGTCGGTCACTCTTGGAGGGATCTTGTGTTGTCGTGGGGGTCTCTGGGACGTCTCCGATGACCCCCCTGATCGCCCTAGGTGTGCTGGGAAGGCTTGGCAAAACGCCCTGCGAGGCCCGGGGGCCGCTTCGAGGCCCGTCTGGAGGTTCCCAAAGCCCCAGATCCCGGGAGTCCGTTTTTTTTTGGGGGGGGGGACGGGTTTTCCCCCGTCCGGGCTTGTAAAAATATAGGAGGAGGAGGAATGTATATATATATATATATATTTATATTTATATATATACACATGTATATATATATATATATATATATATATAACATGTATATATATATATATACACACTGCCCTAGCTGATATTTTTTTGGAGCCCGAGGACTTCGACAAACGATACAGAGCGTTGATCCGAGTCGGGTCTACACTGGACAGCTTTTAGGGTTATAAGTTTGCCCTAACATATCCACGCTTTGCGTCACTGCATTGCAGTCGCACTGCTTTGCACTCGCAGTGAATTGCGCTGCTTTGAATTGATTTACGTTGCTTTGCATTGCTTTGAATCGCTATGCCGTGCTTTGCATTGCAATGCTTCGCATTGCTTTGCATAGCTTCGCATTCGCATCGCTTTTCATTGCTTTGCATAGCTTTGCATTGCTTTTAATTGCATTTCATTGCTTTTCATTGCTTTGCATTGCTTTGTATGGCTTTGCATTGTCCAGCATTTTTGAATTGCTTCGCATGGCTTTGCACTGCGTCGCGTTACTTTGCACTGAATCGCGTTACTTAGCATTGCAGTGCATTGCTTTACATTGCTTTCTTTGCTTTGTTATGCGCTGCTTCGTATTGATTTGCATTGCTTTGCATTGCTGTGCATTCCATTGCTTTGCATTGCCTGGCACTGCCTTGCCCTGCTTCTCACTGCTTTTCATTGCTTTGCATTGCTTTGCTTGGTATTGCTGGGCCTAGCTTTGCACAGTGCAGCACCACATAGCCCACACCACATAGCTCAGACCTCGGCCCCACCCCCAGGAGCGGCTTGTCGTCCGGATCCTTCGTTTCGTTGACTTCTCTTTCTGCCCTCTCTTCTCCCTCCCTTTCTGTTCAATGTCCCTTGCTCTTCACAGATTAGCTGAAGCAAGGCAGTGTGGGCGTGCACCACATAGGTTGCAGTGCATATATTGCACGACTTTAGCTCGCACCACATAAGTTGCACAGCTTAGACTGCACCGCTTCGCTTGCACCACATAGCTTGCACCACCTAGATCTCACCAAGTGGTGTTGCACCTCAAATATTGCACCACATAGCTCGCACCCCAGAGACCGTACAACATAGATGGAGCCACGTAGCTTACAGCACATAGCTCACACGACGTGAGTGAGTACGTTAGCTCCCATCACACAAGTTGCACCACGTACCTTGCACTACATAGCTCACGCAACGTATATTCCACCACATCGCCTGCACCACATAGCTTACACCACATAGCTTGCATCACGTAGATGGTACCGCATAGCTTCCACCACATAGCTTGCACCACAAAGTTTGCACCGCACACATTGAATCACCTGGTATGCTAGACCACACTGTTTGGAGTTCATGCTGGCTAACATACACGTATGTGTGTATGTATGCATGCATGCATGCTTGCATGTATACACGACTGTCTGTAAGTAATTATGTGCGTATGTATGTATGCATGTATGCATGTATGCATGTATGCATCTATGTATGCATGTATATATGTGTGCGTATGCATAGATGCATGCCTGTATGATTGTCTGTATGCATGTATGTAGTTCATATAATGTAGTATTTATTCATGCATGCATGTATGCACATATCTATATGTATGTATGTTTTTTTGTACATATGTATGTGTATATCCATAAATGTCGTATATGCATGTATGTGTATGTCTACGTAGGTGTGTATGCATGTGCGTGTGTGCATGTACGTGTGTTTGTTTGTATGCATGTATGTATGTATGTGTGCACGCACGCATGTATGTACATATGTATGCATGTATGTAAGTATGCATGCATGCATGTATGCATGCATGCATGTATGTATGCATGTAATGCAATGTATGTATGCAGGCATGTAAATATGAATGTATGTATTTACGTATATAGTTATGTATGTATGTATGTATGTATGTATGTATGTATGTATGCATGTATGCATGTATGCATGTATGCATGTATGCAGGCAGGCATGCATGCATGCATGCATGCATGTATATATGTATGTATGTATGTATGTATGTATGTATGTATGTATGTATGTATGTATGTATGTATGTCTATATGTATGTATGTATGTATGTATGTATGTATGTGTGTGTGTATGTATGTATGTATGTATGTATGTATGTATGTATGTATGCGTACATGCATAAATGCCTGTTTGCATGTACTTATGTATGCATGACTGCATGCATGCATGTTTATGTGTAACTGTATGTATGTATATATCTATATTTCTATGTGTACATATTATATATATGCACACCCCGCTCAGGGTGGTACGTCGGCCAGTGGGGCGCAAGCCACGCCAGTGGGGACAGGGGTCTTTTCTCCATGGTCAAGCATGCCGCAGGCAGTTGCGTTTGTAAGTTTCGGGGCAGAAGCCCCCGCGACTATCGTTGCCGCCCTGGCACCGGCCGAGAGTGCCGCGCGGGCCGCTGGCGTGGTGCAGCGGGTGTGTGGACGAACGGTCCTCTTGGCTCGTGCGGTCTCTCTCTCGTTCCCTCTCGCTCTCATTCTCTCTATTCCCTCTTCCCTCCTCACCCTTTCCCCTTCTCCATCATCCTCCTCCTCCCTCCTCCCTCCTCGTCCTCCTCCTCCATTCTCCCTCCTCTTCCTCCCTCCTCTTCCTCCCTCCTCCCTTCTCCCTCCTCCCTTCTCCCTCCTCCCTTCTCCCTTCTCCCTCCTCCCTTCTCCCTTCTCCAGCCACCCTCCTCCGTCCTCTGTCCTCCTTCCGCCCTCCCTCCTGGCGCCTCCTATTCATCCTGCTCTTCGTCCTCATTCCTGCCCCCTCCTCCCCCTTTCCCTCCTCCTCTTCCTGCTGTCGCTCTTCCGTCTTCTCGTCATCGTCCCTGCTCCTATTCCTCCTCCGCCTCCTGCCCCTTCTCCTCCTCCTCCTCTTCCTCCTCCCCCGTCTTATCCACCTCCTCCTCTTTCGCCTCCTCCTCCGTCTCCCCGTCTCCTCCTCCTCCTCCGTCTCACCCTCCTCCTTCTCTCCTCCTCCCTCCTTCTCCTTCTCCTTCTCCTTCTCCTTCTCCTTCTCCTTCTCCTTCTCCTTCTCCTTCTCCTTCTCCTTCTCCTTCTCCTTCTCCTTCTCCTTCTCCTTCTCCTTCTCCTTCTCCTTCTCCTTCTCCTTCTCCTTCTCCTTCTCTTCTCCTTCTCCTTCTCCTTCTCCTTCTCCTTCTCCTTCTCCTTCTCCTTCTCCTTCTCCTTCTCCTTCTCCTTCTCCTTCTCCTTCTCCTTCTCCTTCTCCTTCTCCTTCTCCTTCTCCTTCTCCTTCTCCTTCTCCTTCTCCTTCTCCTTCTCCTTCTCCTCCTTCTCGTTCTCCTCCTCCTTCTTCTCCTTCTCCATCTCCTTCTCCGTCTCCTTCTCCTTCTCCTTCTCCTTCTCCTTCTCCTTCTCCTTCTCCTTCTTCTCCTCCTCCTTCTCCTTCTCCTTCTCCTTCTCCTTCTCCTTCTCCTTCTCCTTCTCCTTCTCCTTCTCCTTCTCCTTCTCCTTCTACTTCTCCTTCTCCTTCTCCTTCTCCTTCTCCTTCTCCTCCTTCTCGTTCTCCTCCTCCTTCTCGTTCTCCTCCTCCTCCTTCTTCCTCCTCCTCCTTCTTCTTCCTCCCTCCTCGAGGAAGAGCTGGTCGCTGCGGAGCAGACCCGGATGGAGACATTCTCCAGCGAGGAGGCGCTACTCGAGGTTCCTAGGTGGGAGGAGGAGAAAGAGGGAGGAGACATGAGGAGGAGGACGAAGATGGAGGAGGCATGGGGAGGACAAAGGGGAAGGAGGAGGCTGTCGGCCACGCGCGAGGGGGAGGAGGAGGAGGATGAGGAGGGGGAGGAGAAGGAGGATGAGGAGGGAGGAGGAGGAGGAGGAGGAGGTGGAGGAGGAGGAGGATGCGGCGGGGGAATTAGGAGCAGGGACGACTGTGGAAGGCTATGGCCAATCTCAGGCTTTCACATGTACGAATATCATGCTGACGGTGACAACGATCACGGTGATGATGATGCTGATGATGATGGTGATGATGCTTAAAATGATGATGATGCTGATGCTGATGATGATGCTGATGATGCTGATGATGCTGATGATGCTGATGGTGATGATGCTGATGATGCTGGTGACGAAGCTGCTGATGATGCTGATGATGCTGATGAAGTGATGGTGATGATGATGGTGATGGTGGTGGTGATGGTGATGCTGATGCTCATGATGACCATGCCGCTGCTGATAATGATGCTGAAAACGATTGTGATATTGATGCTGATGATGATGATGATGATGCTGATGCTGATGATGATGATTCACATGGTTGATTATGATGATGCTGACTGTGATGATGATGGTGGTGGTGATGATGATGCTGATGTTACTGGTGATGCTGATCATGATGATGCTGATGCTGATGACGCTGATGGTGACGACGATGACGATGATGATTCTGATAGTGATGATGCTGATGATGATGATGCTGATGCTGATAACGATGTTCATTATGATGATGATGATCATGATAATGCTGATGATGCTGCTGCCGATGATGATGATAATGGGGCTGAAGAATATTATGGTTGATGATGATGCAGATGGTGGTGATGATGATGATGATGAAAAGGAGGACGATGATTAGGATGATGAGGATGATGAGGAGGAGGAAGGCGGGGAGGACGAGAAGAGCGAGGACGTGGAGTAACATGACGCGAGAGGAGGAGGACGAGCATGAGGAGGACGAGGGGGAGGAAGAGGAGGAGGAGGAGGAGGAGTTGTGGATGATTAGGATGATGATGCTGATGATGATGATGATGATGCTCATTGTGACGATGATGATGTTGTTGATGATGGTGATGGCGATGCTGACGATGATACTGATGATGCTTAGGATGATTATGCTGCTGCTGCTGCTCTTGATGATGATGCTGACGATGACGATGGCGCTGATGATAACGACGATGATGATGCTGATGATGACGATTGATGATGATGCTGACGATGCTTATTAATGATGATGGCGATGCTGACGATGATACTGATGATGCTGATGCTGTTGCTGCTGATGATGATGCTGATGCTGCTGCTGCTGATGCTGATGCTGCTGATGATGATGATGCTGATGATGCTGATGATGCTGATGCTGATGCTGGTGCTGATGATGATGTTGATGCTGCTGATGATGCTGATTATGCTGATGTTGTTGTGGATGCTGATAATGGTGATGCTGGTGATGCTGATGCTGATGCTGCTGTTTGATGATGATGATGATCATGATGATGCTGAGGATGCTGATGCTGCTGATTGATGATGATGATGCTGATGCTGATGCTGATGATGAGGATGATGCTGATGATGATGCTGATGCTGATGCTGATGCTGATGATGATGATGATGCTGATGATGATGATGCTCATTGTGATGATGATGTTGTTGATGATGGTGATGGTGATGCTGATGATCATGATGATACTGATGATTATTATGATGCTGCTCTTGATGATGATGATGCTGACGATGACGATGACGCTGATGATAACGACGATGATGCTGATGATGATGCTGATGCTGATTGATTGATGATGATGATGATGATGATGATGATGATGATGATGATGATGACGATGCTTATTGATGATGATGATGCTGACGATGATGCCGATGATGATGCTGCTGCTGATGATGCTGATGATGCTGATGCTGCTGATGCTGTTGATGCTGATGATGCTGATGATGCTGATGCTAATGCGGATGATGATGTTGATACTGCTGCCGATGATGATGAGGCTGATGTTGTTGTTGATGATGATGATGATAATCGTGATGCTGATGATGCTCATGTGGATGCTGCTGACTGATGATGATGATTGTTATAATGCTGATGATGAGGATGATGATGATGCTGATGCTGAGTCTGATGATGATGATGATGATCATGATGATGATGATGATGATGATGATGATGATGATGATGATGATGATGATGATGATGATGATGATGATGATGATGCTGCTGATGATGATGATGATGAAGATGATGATGATGATGATGATGATGATGATGATGCTGCTGTTTGATGATGATGATGATCATGATGATGCTGAGGATGCTGATGCTGCTGATTGATGATGATGATGCTGATGCTGATGCTGATGATGAGGATGATGATGATGCTGATGCTGAGTCTGATGATGATGATGATGATGATGATGATCATGATGATGATGATGATGATGATGATGATGATGATGATGATGATGATGATGATGATGATGATGATGATGATGATGATGATGATGATGATGATGATGATGATGATGATGATGATGATGATGATGATGATGATGATGATGATGATGATGATGATGATGATGATGATGCTGCTGATGCTGCTGTTGATGATCATGACGATGCTGCTGCTGCTGATGATGATGATGATGATGTTGTTGATGATGATGATCATCATCATCATGATGATGAGGATGCTATTTATGATGCTGCTGATGATGAGCAGGAGGAGGAGGACGAGGAGGAGGAGGAGGAGGAGGAGGAGGAGGAGGAGGGTATTGAGGGCACTGAATGCTGGCACGTCAGGCCCTCCCCCCCTTGCCCAAGCCGATCTTCGCATCCTCGAATCTGCCTGGGCAGCAGGCCCCGCCGCGGCCGAGAGCGCCGAGCCTTCAGCCCTGGATACGAGGGCGCCCTCGAGTGGGCGATGTTATTCGCGCCTCGCGCTTCGCGGTGGTGCTTCGATTCCTCCTCCGCCTCCTCTTCTCCCCCGGGGGGCGTCGTGAGAGCGATACCATGTTGTCCAGGAGGAGGAGGGAGGAGGAGGAGGAGGAGGAGGAGGAGGAGGAGGAGGAGGAGGAGGAGGAGGAGGAGGAGGAGGAGGAGGAGGAGGAGGAGCAGGAGCAGGAGGAGCCCCCCCCCCTCCCCCCCCCTCCCCCCTTCTCCCCCGGGGGGCGTCGCGAGAGCGCGAAGCGATTCGCTCTTCGCGCTTCAAAGACCTGCAACTCCCTCGGAGGCCTCTGGCGGACTCGTGCACCGAGGCCCCGCGAACCTCACGGAAGAGGAGATCCGGAAGCTCCTGGCCAGGGGCCTGCGCGGACGCCTGCCCAAGAGAGTGGCACCCGATGGACTCGGGTGAGCGAATCAGATCTGGTGTCCTCCGCAGGAGGCTCTGACGGACCCGAAGGCGGAGGCGGGTGCGCCGAGGGAGGCGACACGCTCTCGACCCCCTCAGCCAGGGACCAGTCCTCGAAAGGCGCCCTCCCTGCCTCCAGGCGCATCCGAATGAATCCAGTGGGCAACTCCACGTCTAAGACAACACGGCCGGTGCCCGCGAGCTCCTCTGAGTCAGGCTGCTCGAGCCCACCAGCAATTTCCTGACATCTACTCCGTCATCAAATCGTATCCGTGTCCATCCTTCTGCAGCCTGGCACAGCATCAGTATGCTCCTCATGCACATTCCAGAGTTTGGCTCCGCGCTCGGCCCCTTCGCCAGCCATCGCGTTGTCCCCGCTGGGCCACTTCTTCTGGTCAGACGTGGCTGGAAGCTTGGCTCCTGTGCGCAGCAACTCTGACGACAACTCGCGCCACATGTGTTGCCTTGGGTTGCCGATCCCAAGAGCCGCGCTCGAGGCCTGCACAACCGATATGCACGACTAACGGATTCTCATCTGACCACTCACTGAATTGCGCTAGCATTCGAAAGGCCCAGTCCTCCCTATGCGGGCCGCCTGTCCTGGGGCGACATGAAGAGGGACCGCGCCGTACATGGCGTCGACCAGCTGACCTGTACGACCTGTCTGGATGACTGACCATCCTGCGCGGCTAAGTCCTTGAGGTGTGAGTGGAAAGACGACCCGTCCAGGACAACCTTTCCTAAACACCTCCATCCAGGTAAGACTTCCACCAATCTGACTTGGTTCTCCTCGGGGACCTCCGCGCAGGGGAAACAAAACGCGTGGTGACGGAAAGAGACACCCGGTAACAGCTCTGCCTGCTCCTCGCCCTGTTGCCTGACAGAATTGGCAGCACGCCTGACATGCTCGGGACACTCTTCTTTCCTGAGGGCAACACACCGAGGGCAATTCTCTTTTCGTGCCGCAGTGCCCGCACATACCGTGATTAGCGTTATGGTGCGCCAGCCACGGAGCCTGAGGCTAATGATGCCCCCTACAAGACTCCTCACGGCCGCAGCCTGATGCTGCGACCAGCTCTCCGAACAATCCTGCCTCAAGAGCTTACCTGTCGGCTCCCACTGCAGCTGGGAGACCCAGACCGCTTTTTGGCGCGAAAGGGAGTTGACACCCAGCGCTGGCAACGCAACATCTCTGACCAAATCTATAGAATCCGGAAAAAACTTGAAGTCGCCGAGACAAGGATGCCCCAAGATGCCTGCCTCAGGCAGGGTTCAACCTATCCTGGCGAGCGAGAGCACTGCTGCCTGCGCTGCGTCTACTGCTCGCGATCAGGGTCCTGCCTTCATCGGAAGGCCTGTGGCCACCTGGAGGCCAGCCTGGAGCGGATCCCGTCCTGGAATGCTGGACTGTACGCTGATCTCACCCACTGTTCAATGACGCCCCGGACGCGTGCACTGCCCAGGGATCTCTGGGGGCCCCTCGGGGAGTGGCTCTGAGAGGGACGCTTGCCCGTTCGCGCCCAGACTGGGGCTGTCTCAGGCGGCCTGCTCGCTTGGCAGCCCAGGCTCCTTTCCTTCTGGGAGCCCCATGATCCTCGCGAGATAGCAGGCGTGGCACCTGGGCACCCCCGGGAGGCGTCGCCGGGGAGGGGGACACCTGCCCGTTCACGCCCGGATGGTGGGGGTGTCTCGGGCGGCCTGCCCGTGTGGTGACCCCTCTCGGCGTGGCGTGGCGTGGCGAGCCCCGTCGTGTGGGCTGCCAGCCCCCCCCCCCGCTCGACCGCCGCCGCCGAGGCTCAGATGAAGACCAGCGCCACCTCGGAGACGGAGCAGAAGGGCACGCTGGCGGAGAAGGAGGTCGACTACTTGAGCAAGCAGCAGCAGCTCGAGACGAGTTCCGCCGACCTCAAGAGCACTGAGGCGTACCTCGCCGGCATAGTCGCGGAGTGCCAGCAGCGCGAGGCCGCGTACGCGGAGATGAACAAGCTCCGAGAGGAGTGGCGGGCTTGCTCGCGCCGCGTGCCTGGCGTCTCCAGCGGCCCGACTCTGAAAGGCGTGGTTCCCCAGTGGCGTCTCTTAAGCCTCCGCGGTGTCGTCCTCGTCTTCCCTACCTCTTCTCGTTCCTCCTCCCTTCTCCTGTCCTCGAGAGCCGAACAAAGCTAGATTAATTCGGTAGCAAATCATGGGGTCCTGGTATACCCATTTAAAGTCGTCTTTCGCTTTGATCAGCGTCGATTAGCGTCTGGGAGTCGATGAGATCGCGATGATGTAGCAGCGTCGATTAGTGTCGACTTAGCGTCGCCTAGGGTCGATTCGCAAGAGCCGACAAGATGGTATGGGAGGCTCCCGTGAGTTGCCACAGAAGATTAACACGGCCGTCTGGAGGTGCGCACGGATTTCTTGGGACGGGTTCTGGGAGGGAGGCCCACGGACCCCGCGCGGACCCCGCGCGGACCCCGCGGACATCCGAACGTTTACGTTTTGGCAGTTCTCACCCTTCACTGTTATTCATTGGTTTACGCCACACCGCCGACCCCCTGGGGCGGCAGCAATCGTCCCCCGCGTGGCCTGTCCGGACAGCCTGTGAGGCCCCTCTAGACACGTTGTGGAGCCCTCTTAGGACCGTCCTGCCGTTCCCCCGGGCCGTTGCTATGGTTTCTGCGGCCTTCGTGAGGCGCCCGGAGGCCGTCGTGGAGCTTTTTGGAGAGTCTCTTGGGGTGCCAGAGGTCGATCTTGGAGGTTTACTGGGCCGTTGTGGGCCCCGTGGAAGCCCAATAAGCGAATATGCTGAAAATGTACGTTTTCCCAGGGGAAATGGAACGGTTTTTGCTTCTGGAGGCATGCTTGGAGCGCCTCGTGGTCGCGTATGCAAGCGACTTGGACGCCCATGGGGCTGTCTGGAGGCAATCTTGGGCGGTTTGGACCGAATCGTCCCCCGCGTGGGCCGTCCGGACAGCCTTTGGGAGCCCTCTTGGCCCGTTTTGGGGCCCTCTTGGGACCGTCCTGCGGCTTTCCTGGGCCGTTGCTCTGGTTTCTGGGGCCTTCGTGGATCGCCCGGAAGCCGTCTTGGAGCCTTCTTGGGAGCCTCTTCGGGTGACAGGGGTCAGGGGTCGATCTTGCAGGTTTGCTGGGCCGTTGTGGGCCCCGTGGAAGCCCAAGAAGCGAATGTGCTGAAAATGTACGTTTTCCCCAGGGAGTGGGACGGTTTTTGCTTCTGGAGGCCTGCTTGGAGCGCCTCGTGGTTGCGTTTTCGAGCGTCTTGGACACCCATAGGGCCGTCTGGCGGCGATCTTGGGCGGTTTGGACCGAATCGTCCCCCGAGTGGGCCGTCCGGACAGCCTTTGGGGGCCCTCTTGCCCTGTTTTGGTGCCCTCTTGGGACCGTCCTGCGGCTTTCCTGGGCCGTTGCTATGGTTTCTGGGGCCTTCGTGGATCGCCCGGACGCCGTCTTGGAGCCTTTTTGGAAGCCTCTTGGGCTGGCGAGGGTCGATCTTGGAGGCTTCTTGGGCCGTTTTGCGCCGCGTGGAAGCCGCATGGGTGAATGTGGTGAAAATGTACGTTTCCTTCGGAAATGTGACGATTTTTGCTTCTGGAGGACCTCTTTGGGGCGCCTCGTAATATTGTTTCAAACGTCTTGGGGACTTATGGAGCCGTGTGGAGGCAATCTTCGGCGTTTTGGGGCGATCTTTCGTCGATTCGTAGCTCTCTTGGACCGTTTCAGGAACCTTTGGAACCTTTTTGGCCCGTTGTGGAGCCTCCTGAGGCTCCAAGTGTGCGCATGATGGATTTCCCCCCCCCCCCCCCTCCTCCCCCAAACCAGCCGGACCAGGCCCCCCGGGGGAAGGGTTCGGGGAGGGGGAAGCATCTCACACGCCGTGACCCCAAGGGGTCGGTGGATTAATCTTAGGAGTTGCAGCGGTTTCACGAATGGAGGGCGGGTCGCTTTCAAAATGTGGTTATCGCCTACGCGCCGCGCACGTTTCAATTGTTTGAACGAATTTGACGGATTGAGGGCGGGTATCTTTCAAAATACGGCTCTCGCTTCAGCGCCGCGCATATTCGGTTGAAACAGTTGCAAGAGTTTCACCGATTGAGGGTGGGTGTTTCTCAAAATGTGGCTCTCGCCTTAGTGCCGTCCGCATTCGATTTTAGAAGCTAGAAGAATATCACGGATTGAGAGCGGTTGGTTTTCAACATGTGGCCTTCGTTTTAGTGCAGTGCACATTCGTATTAAAGGTTTGCAGCAGGGCGGGCGGTTTTCAAAATGTGGCTCTCGTTTTTTTTTTTTTTTGTTTGTTGTTGTTTTTTTGCGCCGCATGCATTCGTTGTAAAGGTCTGCGAAAAAATCCAGGATGGAGGGCGGGTGGTTTTCGCAATGTGACTCTCGCCCGCCTCGCGCTTTCGTGTTGAACGTTTGTAAGTGTTTCACGTATGGAAGGTGGGTCGTTTTCAACACATGGTTGTTTCCGTAGCGCCGCGCACATTCGTTTTCAACATGTACAGCAGATGAAGGGATTCTTACGGTTGACGTCCCAGGAACGGTGTTCCAGCAGGATTCAGGAACGCCAGGGCAAAGCAACCACGTTGATTCGCGGTGACAAAGTCTCAGGAATGGTGTTTTTGAACGATGCAGCATCGTCAAGGCGCAACAGTAAAGTTGATTCGCGGCGTCGAAGTCCAAGGAGTGGTGCTTTGGCACGATTGGGGATTTTCAGACGATTGTCGTCCAACGGCACTCCCAGCAGTGTGAATAAGTTTTTGCAGGGCACTATGAAGAGGGGAATTGGACGGAAGGTTTATTGCAACATCGTTGATGCGCGTTGGGTTTGCACTCGTCCTGCTCCTCCTCCTCTTCCTCCTCACCTCCTCCATTCCTTGTCCCCATACATAACATTTCCCCGTCGCACTCCGGGGCCAGTCGCAAGGGCGGGCCGGGCGTTTCGCACTGAGACTCCCTCACCACTTCTAAACCTGAAGTTTCAAACTTGGGAATCGTTTCGCAGACGAGGGGCGGGTCGTTTTCAAAATGTGGCTCTTGCCTTAGCGTCTCGCACATTCGTCTTAAACAGTTGCAATCGTTTCGCGGATTAAGGGCGGGTCGTTTTCAAAATGTGGCTCTCGCCGTAGCGCCGCCCACATTTGTTTTCAGAAGTTGCAAGAGCTTCGCGTATTGAGGGGGTCTGGTCTTCAAAGTGTGGCTCCCGCCTGAGCGCCTCGCGCATTCGTCGCACACAAACTGCAATCGTTTCACGGATGAAGGGCTAGTCGTTTTCAAACTGTGGCTCTCGCTTCCAGCGCCGCGCACATTCGTTGTACATTGTTGCAGGAATTTCACAGATGGAGGAGGGTCGTTTTCAAAATGAGACTCTCGCATTAGCGCCGCGCACATGTGTTTCAAATAGTTGCAAGATTTTCACGGGTTAAGGGCGGTTCTTTTTTTAACATGTGGCTCTCGCCTTCGCGCCGCGCGTGCTTGTTCTAAAAAGTTGCAAGAGCTTACATATTCCCATGATCAACGTGCCAGAAATGGTGTTTTGGAATGATTCAGGACCGTGAGGGCATAACAGTCACGTTGATTCGCGGTGTTGATGTCTCAGGAATTCGTCTGGCACGGTTCCAGATCGTCAAGACGCAAATGTCATGTTGATACGTGGCGTTGGGGTCCCGAGAGTGGTGTTTTGGCACGCTTTGGGTCTTCAAACGGCGGTCTCCAATCGAAGCCACCGTTTGACATGAACCCTCAGTAGACATGAACTTTGAACTTTTGTAGGCCTATGAAGAGGGAGATTGGGGGGAGGGTTTATTCCAACATCGTTGATGGGATAAGGGGTTTACACTGGTCCTCCTCCTCCTCCTCTTCCTCCTCCTCCTGCTCCTCCTCCTCCTCCTCCTCCTTCTCCTCCTCTGCGCGCCGCTGCCCTCATTGTGTGGCAGGGGCAGAGAGAGAGAGAGAAGACACACTCCGCGAAGACAGCGGCTCATCGCGGTACTGGGGGATTTCTGCTGCCCCGCCGCAAGCAAGGGAGCACCCAGACATCCGACGAGTGTTTTTTTTTCGGTGCGCGCCCCCAGGGATCCAGACCCCTTCCCCAGAGGTAACTCGCGTTTTGCCCCGGATCCTGCTTGATCCGAAGACGGGCCCCAGTGGCCGCAATCGAGGGAAAACGCAGGGAGAGTCAGCAACACCACATCGTCGGAGATCTGGGACATGGGGAGGGGGGAGGCCCGGCCTCTCCCGAGGACGAGATCGAGGCCCTCGGCAAGGCCGTGGCCCTGATCTCGGAGGTCGCCGGTGAGGCGCTGCCGGTGGCGCTGCTGCACCTGCCGCCCGCAGGCGCCGCGGGCCATGGAGGCCGCATCGGCGCGGCGGCTGGCGCTGCCGAAGCGCGCCTGGTTGTAGGCAGGGCCCGCACGCTGCTGGCGCAGGCGGTCGGGGGCAACGAAAGGGGGGAACGGGAGGAGGAGGAGGAGGAGGAGGAGGAGGAGGAGGAGGAGGGGGAGGAGGAGGAGGAGGAGGAGGAGGAGGAGG